TAGGGCATAACCAGTACCCCAACATCAGACATATTGACCAGAAAGGAGGCATGAAATCCAAGAATGTACAATTATGAGGCAAAAGATGGAAGCACGGGAAGAAAGGCCATCACTCATGTAGAAGGTCAGAAGCATGAGCTTGGCTACAAGGCTTGGAGAACTCAAGCAGAAGGCAGGTGGGAAAGTGGGAGCAGCAGAGGAGGGGCTGGACTGGGGAGATTAATGGGGCCCCAAGCATGGGGATGGGTAATGGACCAAATCATAATATCCAAAGTATAACAGAATCAGATTCTCAACTTCCAAGGCAAATCCATACCTATGCTTTTGCTGGTAAATTGAGACAAATTTCCTCTGTATCTAAAGTAATCCATACTAAGCTATTTGTTGATTTAAAAAAGAGAATTTAAGGATTACATTGGTCAATAGGTAGAAAGAATTGTATCTCTCATCCCTCAAAATATAGCGAAGGATTATCTGAACAGCTCTGATGAGGAAGCTATGACGACCCCTACAATGCAATGCTATCAGGCAGATTCCCAGAAGGGCAGATCCCTAACCCCTTTTGCTCCGTAGAGATCACTGAGCATATGGCTTTGGAGCTGCCCTGCACTGTGTCTGATATGGCAACCATTTATTTTGTGAATGTCTAACAGACAGGAGGTTTCATGCAATGGGGTCGAGAAAAGGAGAAGGTGGATAGGCCTCTCTTTTACGAAGCTTTATCAATCATAGTTCTCATTTTCTCCAGGAAAAATAAAAGTACTGGCTTGACATAACCAGCCTCGATTTCTAGGATGCTGGTGGCATCCTGCTCCCTCTGAGGCCCTGTGAATAATTTGCAAAGACTTGTGTGTGAGGGCTTTCCCCTAGTGTTCTGATTCAGAACATGCTGTATGTTTGTGCCGATATTTTTCTTTAATTCTCACCCAAGGATATGCTTTACTGATTTTAGAGACAGGGGAAGTGGGGGAGAGGGGGTGGGGGTGGGGGAGGAAGAGACAGAGAGAACAGAAACATCCATCAGTTGCCTCCTGCATGTGTCCCAACAGGGGATCAGCCCACAACCTATGTACGTGCCCTGATGGCAATCAAACTGCCCCCTTTTGGTGCACAGGATGTCACTCCAACCACCTGAACCACAACCGCCAGGGCTGTGCTGACAACTTTGAGAGAGCTGTTCTGCTTTGGGTCAGTCAGAATCATAAATGGTCAATAAAACTCAAAAAGGTATGTAGAGTGTGTGTCATCATAGCCGTCCTGTGCCTGGAGCCTGGGGCAGCCTCCACATCCTTCCTTAGAGAAAGCAGGCATTGCTCAGGCTCGAGCAGTCACTCCTGAATGCCCGAGCGGCCGGTGATGACCGGCCT